TTGTACTTACGAATGACATTTTTATTTAATATTGTGCCATTAATAATGTCTGGTTAAGAACGACGCATTTTATTTCGTGATCAAAGGTATGCTCAAAGCATTATGTTGGTTCTATGCGTTAATGCAGGCATTTAGGCAGCGTGTATTCCTGAGTGCAATTTTTCATTTTAAAATGCCGAGATCGAAGTTATAAAACAGTCAATTCAATTGTTATGTAATCTTAAATTTAAGATAGTTTTAGTAAGTACTAACATAATTCTGCTTTTCAGGCGCATAATATTAGATGCTATCGGTATAACCAAGTTACGTTTTATTTAGTTTTGAACCTCTTGTTTTGTTGTATTTTTCTTATTTTACTACGATCTGTAATGTATATGAGCAATGCTTGCCATTTATATTCGTCTGTGAATAGCCTTATCTTACCACTAATCATATTTTATTGTATACAATACATTTTAGTTTTTGAAGTATTTTTGTAAATATTCTTTAATTAATTACGTTACTCATTAATAATATTTATCGAAATTACTAATATTAAAAAAATATAAAATAATTTTTTGTCGAAAAAACACTAATTGTTGTATTTTGCTAGTGACTATTTTATGCAATCTCAAATATAGTTTTCATATTAATTAGAGTTTTATTAAACACAACTAAGTGATTTTATACTTTAAAATATACAAATATATAAAATACAAATTCAAGTACAAATGTAGCAATTTTATCAGGATTAATTATTATTTTTCTGAGCTCCCTGGTGTTAAGTGGTTACCGGAGCCCATAGACATCTACAACGTAAATGCCGCCGCGCCACCCACCTTGAGATATGAGTTCTAAGGTCTCAGTATAGTTACTACGGCTGCCCCACCCTTCAAACCGAAACGCATTACTGCTTCACGGCAGAAACAGGCAGGGTGGTGGTACCTACCGAATACCGGAACGCATTTACGTTTTAGATGTCTATGGGCTCCAGTAACCACTTAACAGGAGGTGGGCTCTGAGCTCGTCCACCCATCTAAGCAATAAAAAAAAGAAAAAAAAGTAGCTTTTATAAGGACGGTGAAGGGCTAAGGCGGACTAGAAGGATGGTATTTTCATATTATAAAATAATCTCTTGTGTCATTAGAAGTTTGTCTTTTCCCATTCCTTTTTTGAATGTACTTTCTATATTTTTCAGATTTTTATTTCAGATTTTTATTTCAGATTTTTACAAATGATTGTGAGATGTCTGAGAAATTAGTGGCTATTTTGGTGCCTAATTAGTGGTTAATTGGCAAGTATGTCTTCAGCCGCGTTAATATCCACATTAATCAAAATTGAAGATAGGATTCATCTGACAGGTGTTATAAAAGGCCTGTTTGAATATGTGAAATGATGGAGCAAATTGAATATTGAAAACTGTTTACCAACATTTTTAGAATCCTATCCATTACAACAAACTTTATTTTTGAATAATATGAATACTGTTTGATAGACAATACTTAGGTGATTTTTTTATAGGCTCGTCCTGGTGCTTTTAATTCGATCGGTGGTATGGTGCCAGAATATATAAAATATAGGAAAGTTTCATTGGTGATCCGGTTTAAATTTTAGTGATTTAAATATTAGTAACGGTGGCACCTATCCCCACAGGGGTAGATGTAAGTATGGAAAATCTTTTATAACATTAAGACTGTGCAGATGACATACTTAAATTAAGTAAAAGAATGCATGCCTTCATACACTTGTAGCTAAGCCGTCTGGCGTTAGCGATGTATCATCATCATCATTATAATCGATCAGCAGATCCAGCAGCAAGGCAATGTCGTCTGATGGTAAAGTGTAAAAAATAAAATCGTCTAGTTTTTCTTAAAAATACATTTATTTATAAAATGTCACGATACTATTTATTTTTTTAAATTAAAACATGCAAAATAGCTACTCAAAAGTTACATATACTTCTTTGTACTTCTTTGAACGGTTTCTATAATCCACCGTTCAAATACATTTTATTTTTTATTATTTAACGATTGTAAATCTAACTTTTCTATTGCTTGAAAGCAGTTAACCAACTACGTCATTATTATTAGATTAGTAATGGCGAAAATTCCATCAAGAATGCGATAACCTCAAACAACTGCTAAGTTGCTCCTCTGGACTAATAATCGCTTACTAAACTACTTGCACCTAAATCTTAAAGCAGTATTCGATTTATTTATAGACACACACATTTAATTTTTACAAAAATAAATAAGTTTTTAAACACATAACTATAATTACCATCTCTCCATAGAAACGTTGCTTTGAATGTCAATATCACAGATATTTTCACAAAAGGTCTTCATTTTCTTGCTACATCTATTTTAACCTTCGATCAATAATAGTACTATTATTGATCGAAGATTTTAACTTTATTATGTGCGTTGTTCAGCGCCAATTTAATTAGCAACCTATTATCGATGTATAAGATATTTATAAAAATATGTTAAAATCTAATAACTTCTACAAGCAAGGCAATATTTGGTTAATTCTGCTCACATATCGAGTAATCCCTTACTGGCCCTAAAGCATGTCTTTTTTTATTAAAAAATACATAAAATACTATCTCTAAAAAGCACAAAAATATATTTTTGTATATATTCTAAATAAGAAAGAATTCATTATCAATTCAGCCTACAAGTCTGCGAACAATGAAATATGTTTTGTCACCTACAAAACCACAATCTCTAACAACTCTAGACCTCACGAGATCCAGTCATGATCAAATTGACACTAAAGGTCTTCCAGTTATGACCTTGATAACTATACTTTCGTTCGCATACCGATATTCGATTATGTGTAAATTAAATGTTTGTTTCCAATTCTCCTCATATATTTTTGTTTGTGCATTACAAAAAATATAAATGGCATTTTGAAAATCATCACATGTGATTACAATATGAATTACGAAAATATGACAACACCTTTCAATCGTAGCTAGCAGTTGTGTCTAACAAAGAGAATTGTGTTATTTTATTTTTTTAGTAAAGAAAATTACTCGTCAAAAGCCTTTATGAAATAACCCCTGAATGATACATACATATATCTATTTTTAATTATTGTTTTTATGAATACAATATTATAACCGCAACTTTGTGCGAATTTGTCGTACTCATTCATTTAATTTGGGTGATGATTGAAGATGATTATATCGAGTGGTGAAAGGCTATTAATACGCGACATTTATCTTTGTAATTAAAGTTCCCTTTTATTTGGTACTAGCTGTACCCGTCCGCTACGCTGGGCATTTAAAATTAACATTATTATTTCTCACAAAGATTCTTAATGCCACCGCAACTGGTGTAGGGAGTCCAACACTCATATAAATATTAGCCTATCTATTAAGTACATGTATTTTCTACATTGATACCAAGTTCCAAGTCAATCGGATGCACGGTTCAGTAGTTATAACGGAACATCCGTAAAAAGTAAAAACCACTGTAGATTTATATATTACTATAGATTAGTATCAACCATTCGATTTAATTGAAATTCAATTAAGTTTATTCAAATAACTTAAGTAGTTTGTTTGTAATGATATCTTTTCAAAATTTTAAAATTTAAAAGTCTGTCCTGTAATGTTGCAAAAATGTCACTTAAAACAAATAGCTTTTCACCCCTCGATATATTATAATTTTTAGTTACATTCTACAATTTCTGATGATATTCTGAATGTAGTTTTTATCTTTATAATAACGAATTATACATAGGAATCGATTATTTAGACTTTATTTAATGATTTCTAATTGTATTTTTTATGAAATGGAATGTTAATTTTTCCAAGTTACAAGATTTGGATGCATAAAGAAAAAAAAAATTAAGCGCATGAGATTTAAAATTTTAGTCATTATTTCCAAAATGTTGTCTCTTGAATCACATAGCTGTTACTTGTGGAATTCTAAATTATGTTGCATAGCACACTTAGTTCACTTTTAGTTAATAAAAATAAATAAATCCGAAGGCATTTTGCATATTAAAAAAAATCGGTAGACTTTTGTTTTCATTGTATTGTTAATTGTCAAGATCTCAATCTCTGTCTGAAATATTTATCTAGAAACGACGGGCAATATTTTAATGTAATTAAAAATAGTCACAATGGAGCTTGGCCGAGTTTATATTAGATTATAATATGAGTACAATAAACTATTGAACGTTCTTGCCTAAAACTAAGTAAAAACTTCTTTTAACGGAGTTTTAAAGTAGAATATCAACACTAATTACCTTAACATGCTTTTATAGCCTTTGAAATTGTTTAAAATTCAGTAAACAGTAGACATGTTATTTTTTTATTTTTTATTGTTTATATGAGTGTACGAGCTAATAGCCCACCTGGTGTTAAGTGGTTACTGGAGCCCATAGGCATCTACAACGTAAATGCACCAACCACCTTGAGATATAAGTTCTAAAGTCTCAGTATAGTTACAACGGCTGCCCCACCCTTCAAAGCGAAACGCATTACTGCTTCACGGCAGAAATAGGCAGGGTGATGATACCGCGCGGACTCACAGGCGGTCCTACCACCAGTAAAAAGATAGAAAGTGAAGTCGTCGAAGAAGTTTGAAGTCGTCGTGGCCTAAATGATAAGACGTCCGGTGCATTCGTGTTGAGCGATGCGCCGGTGTTCGAATCTCAGGCGGGTACCAATTTTTCTAATGAAATACGTACTCAACAACTGTTCACGATGGACTTTCACGGTGAAGGAATAACATCGTGTAATAAAAATCAAACCCGCAAAATTATAATTTGCGTAATCACTGGTGGTAGGACCTCTTGTGAGTCCGCACGGGAAGGTACCGCCGCCCCGTCTATTTCTGCCGTAAAGCAGTAATGCGTTTCGGTTTGAAGGGTGGGGCAGCCGTTGTAACTATACTGAAACCTTAGAATAGAATATAATCTCAAGGTGGGTGGCGCATTTAGCAGGTGCGCTGTGAGCTCGTCCACCCATCTAAGCAATAAAATAAAAATAAAAAATGAAATGGAGCAAGTAATATTATTGAAGTGTTTGTTACAATGTGGAATATATATCATTAAGCATTGGCGCCTGTGGCTGCGATGGTTCGAAGCAACAGGCGCAGGGCAGTCAGCGAGCTGGCGCCCTGCGCGTTACTCTCAGAAGCACGGGCCCGGCGCGGACGTCTTTGAACAACCGAATGGCTTCTCCGTGCGTCAGCCCGGCCGTACCTCTACCGTTAACAGATATGATCTCATCACCTGAAAAGATAAAAACAATATACATAACGTGACCATACGTCCCGCTTTCAGGCTGTCCATCGTGGTGTCCCCAACGAGATTAAAAAATGTCCCGCTTTCATTTATCTGTTGTAAATGTGTTTATTAGACGCTCACCGAATACCTACTTACTTAGGTAGGCAGCGGCTTGGCTTTACCCCTGGCATTGCTGACGTCCATGAGCGACGGTGACAACTTACCATCAGGTGGGCCGTATGCTCGTCTGCCTACAAAGGCAATAAAAAAAACCCCAAATCCTTATTGTATTACAAAATACATACCAAAGTATATATTTTTCCTTCCACTTTCCTAATTTACCACATCTACACAGCTTGTCAGTTAATAGTAATTGAAAAAAAAAAAGGAATAACAAAAGAAGACTTATAACGCGAATAATGTTACATCACTTATATCCCCACTGTTCTATGATCACACATTATTATTTCTTAAGCATTCAGCAGGTGTACCTAAATGATGATAAAATAGGCCCCTTCGTTACATACACATCGGTAGAAATGCATGTCTGTTTATGGGAATGCAGTTATTGTTAATTTAAGCCGTCACTTTAGAATGTAACACCTTTCTATAGTTGAACATAATAAATGTCAAAGACCTTTTAAAATACGTAGGTACTCGTATTGTATGACAAAGTTGCATGCTGAGTATTTGTTTTCTCCTTGTCTTCTACGGTCTAGGCTGTTAAATATATGTGTGCAGTTCCTACTAACCGCGAATCTTACTTAGATAATATATAGGTTGTATTCATACTTCAGGAAAACGTTGACAGGAGATTTATGATAATATAGTCTTCTGATGTGATAGCAAGAAAAATGATGATTTTTTTTAACGAGTTTCGTTAACTTGATTTGTACGATATGAGTTGATTAGCAGAAAACGTTACGTAACAAAAAACTTTATTCCCTGTCCATGCTACTTCTATTCTCTTTGTCTCTTTCTGTTGGATACGATACAACATATTATATACGAATTCGATGCACTTCGGGCAAAATGAGGTTGTGTACAAATGCAAAAAATCGAGAAATTATTTTGTTCTATTCACCTTCTCGTAGAATCGATTCGGCGGCTTGTCCGTTGTTAAAAATTGTCTTTACGAATATCCCCATGTCGCCTCGAGGAGAATCGCGCCCTCCCACAATGCTGAAACCCAAACCTTTGCCTCCGGCTGATTTTGTGAAACGAACCTGAAAATTGAAGTACGATTTCTCATTAATTTTTGATTTGGATGGGAAGCTTACATTTATGTGAAATAAAATATTTTATATTCAGTTTGAAAGTTTTTAAATTGGAACGCATAGCTGTTTAGAAAAAATACGCAATATAACTATAGGTGTAGTAAAAGTAAATTTATAGTTTTTTTTCCATACGAAGGTTCGTGTTAGTTCGCGAAGACATGCATCGCATTTACGTGTACGCAGTGGTGGTACCTGCCACAGATTTCAGCATCGACAAATCTCATCAGTCAAAAAATGTAAGCCTCTCTAACCTATTAGACTACGGGTGTTTCTAAAAGTTTTAATGTAAAAAAAATTGGCCTTTACGAAATTTATTTGTTAAAGTAATATGTCTCATATATTTAATGTATTTTATATATTTTATGTAGTAAAATCCTAGCATTAAATAAAATATACATATATAATATTTAGAAATAAGTATTGTAAAAAAAAATTAACAGCAATAAAAGCTTATTATTATTATTATTATATATTTCATGTATTGATTGCTTTTTATTGTCATTAGATATTGTCATGTACCATTCGAAACTCAAGATAGTAATAGTATTTAAATTATATTGAAAATACCTCAAATTGATGTAAATCTCGCGGATCTGGGGCTGGTGGTCTTTTTTGAAGATTTGTCGATGGAGGCGCGGGCGGTGGACGAGCTGATCGCGGTGTCGCGCTCACTCTTAGCTCCGATACGCCGTTTTTCAACTGTTGCATAGGATCTTGTCGAGATTGTACACGCGGTAGCCTGTATGGTTCTTCCCATATCTTTTGGTTTATATCTGTTGGCAGTCTACTGTAGCCGTTTCTATAAGGAACGTCTAATTCCACATTCTCGCTGTACGGACGCCGATTTCGTCCCTCGGAACTACTTTTCCTCCTGTCACTCATATAGCTGTAGTCTACTACATCGTGACTTTCATCATCTTGATTGATGAGTGGATCTTTCGATGCTCCTTTTGATCTATATACATTAGGAGAGCTGCAACGTCGTCTTACTGTGGCCGATTGTCTGGATGGCGAAGGTGACGTGTTTTGTCGCACAGCTGTAGGGCTGGGAACATAAAATGTGGATGGTTGCTGCTGAGGTGGAGATAAGACGTCGTGAGCTGATAGAGCACGTCTTCTTAGGCCTCCACCTAATTTGCCCAATGCTCTTAGTAAGTCTGGAGCTCCACTCGTCACTCTTAAGGAGGCTGTTGTGTAGACTTTTCCTCGATGACGAAAGGAAAGTTTTGATGGGGGTGCCGGTGAACATTGGTTTGGCTGTCTTGGAGGCGAAGGAGAGCAGCGCACTGGACTTGGTTCACGGTTGCCCGAGCCGGGTCGTAGTCGCGAGCAGCGCCGTCGAAGTTTGCGCCATCTTTGTGATAAGTTAGCGTTCCATCCTTCTTCTGAAATGTTAAATAAAATAGGATTGGATAAAATACATTCGATTAGATGCAACAAAGAACAACACACTAGCTGTACTGGTCCGCTTCGCTGGGCATTTAAAATTAACATTATTATTTCTCACCCCCACAAAGATTTTCGTCATTAACGCACCCGCAACTGGTGTAGGGAGTCGAACACTCATATAAATATTAGCCTATCCATTAAGTACATGAATTTTCTACATCGATAACAAATTTCAAGTCAATCGGATGCATGGTTCAGTAGTTATAACGGAACATCCGTAAAAACCACTGTAGATTTATATATTAGTATAGATTAGGATAGATTAACATAACCTATGTTATTCTTGCGAAATAATAACAATATAATAACGTAGTTTTTGAATTATGCTAATTATTGTATTTCTGTTATTATATTACATTTTTAGAGAATTGTAAAGGTCATGTGTCTACTAAATGTATAATTATCTAAGATAGTATCTCATATGATATTAAATAATGCCGTAATAATCAGAGCTATCAGCATAATCACTCTCAAATACTTCCAGTGACGAAACTTTACTATTAATTGCTGTTTTGATTACAAATTTTAACAGGTATTATGAGTCTGGTCGGATGGATAGTTTTTGTTGTCATGCCTCAAGCTTGGTAGCGGGTTCGAGTTGTGGTATCTATCTTCGTACACTTATAATTACAGGTGTGTTTAGATCTTGCCTATTTCAGATCATTAAATATTTCTAAGCTCTCATATTAGATAATTACAATTCACGGCGTCATAATATATATATTACTGGTGTTAGGACATCTTGTGAGTCCGCACGGGTAGGTCACATCACTCTGCCTATTTCTGCCGTGAAGCAGTAATGCGTTTCGGTTTTAAAAGTGGGGTACAGACAATGTCTTAGTTTTTACAGTTCAATAACTGTAAAAACTAAGACATTAGAACTCATATCTCAAGGTGTGTGGCGGTATTGACGTTGTAGATGTCTATGGGCTCCGATAACCACTTAACATCAAGTGGGTCGTGACTTCGTCTACCCATCTAAGCAATAAAAAAAGTGATATTATTAAATTAATCATTTGAAATCTTCCTTAACAGCAGTTCCATCTAGAGACTATTCGTAATAGGTAATATTAGAAAGATGTCTTGTCGGATGCTCCGGATTCACTCTCTGTGCTTTTAGACCTCACAAGCACCGGTCACCGTCCTCGTCGACTAACCTATAAACCCATCTCACTGAGTTTCTCGCCGGATTTTCTCAGCGGGTCGCGATTCCGATCCGGTGGTAGATTCTGCGAAGCACTGCTCTTGCTAGGGCTAGTGTTAGCAAATAGCAAATTCTCTCAGGTTGAGCCCATGAGCTCACCTACCCGTCTGGGCGTAGCTTGAACAGCCTATCAAAACTAACAAAATATGAGAAATCCCAACCTTTCTTATTGGTGTCGGCGTCAGAAGCGTAGTCATGTGCTCGCGGTTGAGGTGGCGCGGCCGGTGATGCAGGCGCTGCGAAGCTGTGTCGTAGCGGTGTCATACGCAGTAGCCGTGGTCGGTCGCCACCACCACCACGCGTACCCCATGCTGGCGCGCCCATGCTTTGCAGCGACTGAAGCAGTGTGATATATTTTTTTTATTCCCAAGAATCTCAATGCGCGATTCGGTACTTATCTTACGATGGTGACGAGAAAGTGATCGGAACGAGATTAAGCATGATTTTAAAAATATATTTTAATTAATAAAGATAATTTATAATATTGGCGTAGTATTTGCGAGTTGGTTGAATAAACATATACGCAAACTCTTTGACAAATTCATAAAAATCAATGATATTGTAACCAACGACACATTACGTTAAGTGTAAATGCTTAATTCTTTTACAATTGTAAACATGTTCATAATTAAATTAACACACAGAGATTTACAATTTATTTTTGAAAAGGAGATTATGGTATAGAGAATTGTTGTTGAGCAATTATTTTTGGTACCCAATAAATGTCTAGTAGATTCCAATCTGAAAAAATATATTTGAAAATATTACAACTTAGTATTATCGTCTATTTTAGCGAATCGTAGGCATAATTTTAAATTTTAAGCTTGTGCGTACTTGTATTTTCATTAAAGTATTTCCGACCGTTCAAGTTAATGATTTTTTGGTCAAGAACGATTGACGTACGTAAAGTATGTAGAAGGAATAATAGTACAAACGAAATGAAGTAATCAAATTTGTTTTAATAAAATTGATAAGCCAGATAAATTGTTACACTAAAAGTTTATTAGTAATGTCATTACGAATCATAGAGCCGACTAAAGTTCTACTGGCCCTCGCGCATCGCTAAATATAGTTGCCACTTGTACTTACTACAGGCATGGCGGGGCATTTGGTTGTAACTTAAAAGCAATCTCAAGAGTCGTTCCTGTTCTAATGGCATTTTAATAACTTTAAATATAAGTATACTTAAATTAAGTGTTCTTAGATAATTTCTATTGAATAAATGGCATTGAGCATCGGCCGTCCTATCGTGGTCATTACAGAAGCCACGTAAATAGATACGGCTTAGTATTTGGAGTGGGCCCGGGAAGGCAAACATAAATTTCCGGTGATCAGCCTCGATACATAAGTTGAACCGTTCTGATTGCATTGACCTACATCATTTTATTTATAAATAAAATCAAGCATCATTTGTTGAATTACAATTGAGTGTAAAGAAACAATGTTCGAAAGGTAGCTCCATGGAACATAAGATATTTGACAGGATGTTTGAATGCGCTAACGACATTTTCAAGATAAATTTGCATGTATACATCATTTTTTTTTGTTTGAGATTTTACTGGTCGGAGCTTACTACGTAGGCCTTTCCACTTTTACCAGGGCAGATGGGCGAGCAAGGGCTCAGCCAAGAAGGGTGGGATTTGCTAACAGCTACCTGAGCGCCTCCAAAGGAAACCTAACAACTCCAGAGTAACTGCTTCGCGGTAGTAAGTTCCGGTGGTAACCGGATTCGGAATCGCGACCTGCTGAGAAGATCGGGCGAGGAATTCAGCGGGCTGATGTTTAGGTTAGGTTACACTTCGAACTCTTTGCCGAGTTCGATGAGTACAGTTACCGGGGTGTCTACTTTTAGTGTTAGAGCTAAAGGTGTCTAATGCATAGGTTATTGGATCTGATGGATCCGTATCACGTGACATATCATACGGAGGGTCGCCGTCAATTTAATGAAAAATTTACCCGCTCGGTGGAAGATGTTTCTAATATCCTTCAAATCGGTGACCCTAACATGATACAAATCCAGCACACGGACAATTAAAGAAGCCATTAGTAAAAAGTATATCGCTGCCAACACACCGCTCTTCCACTGGTTCACCAAAACTTGGGATCTCATATCTCCGAGGTAACAGTTCTACATTACATTGACTATTCACTTCAGACATTAGATCGAAATTTTATTGCACAACGGCTTTCATAATATGAATGCGCTTGTCCCTTCATATTGGAGCGACTGCACTATTTCTACTAAATAAACAGGATAATGGATCTAGCCTTTAGTTATTGGCAAAGTAAAATTTGTTTCTTTATTCTATACTAGCTGTTCCGGCAGACTTCGTAGTGCCTCAATCGATAAATAAAAGACCTAAACTTTTGTATAAAATAAACTTAAAACAAACAAGAGGAATCCGTCCGACGGAGGATTTTTGTTTAATTCCGAGCATTTTCATATTTATCTAACCTTTTAAACCTTCTCTGTAATGTCGTAATATGAAAAACAGCCGTGGTACGTAAAAATATTCACCCAGAGTAGGTACGTGACCAGTTGTTTTAATTTATCCGACAATAAAACGCGCTCGTTCCCCAAGCACGGAATTTAATTACCTACAGTATCCACACTCCAGTTTCTTTTCCCCCGGAGATTAAATTTTACATACGGTCATTTGCAACGGATCATGTTTCAAAGCGCTTATTAATCTATTCAGTTCTCTAAGTATAAAGGTTTTACGTAAGTTCATTTTCGACGAACTAGGTATATATTTTTGGTAAAAAAAAATATGTCAACCTTATTTTTCAGGTGGTTATTGGATACGAATAATCAGAAGCATAACCTCTAAGTTTGAAATTATGTAAACAAAGTGCTTTATATAGAAGTGCTATGTTTGTAAACAGATCCATAATTCACTTTAGTTATTTATTTTGAAAGCAACATGCAGATTTTTTGTGTAAGCCAATGGCGCAGCATCCGTAAAAGTTTCATTCGCTTTCTTTAATAATTAAAGAGGAGAAGGGGATATCGGACAATGCACCCGAAACGAAGTTTACGGTCAAAATTAAAAAGTTAGACATACTTGAATATTACATATTGCAACGGCCCCAATCTGGGATTTTCTTGTGTTATAAGTGTTGAAAACATAAGCGTACGGAACATGAAAATACATTTTAACTGTAGAAAATGAACTCCAAATATCTTTCAATAGTAATAATAAACCTTAGATACCTTAGATTCCATTATTGAAGACAAAGAAAATAAGTGAGAATTGAGAATAATATCGGATTGTACAGTAGCCAGTGATACTAAGCACTAGGGCAATATAGCGATCGTGATAAAACGCTTGTGTCCACTACGTACATTGTTATAATAAAGTTATATTAAGTGCTATTTCCTATTTTAGCAGTCATTGTTAGAGCGAAGAAAGTCGCAGCTTATCTTAACACGGTCTCGCCTTTCTTTCAAGCAGACTTTCGCCAAGAAAAAGGTTTTGTTGTACGTTTAATTGAGATTTATAATTTAACTGTACTGTATGGGCTATAATAATGACCAACAACAGAGATAATTTTAATTATATTCAAATTGTTAAGAAAATTGCAAATGTTATGCAAAATTGGATAATATGCGGGAATGCTATAAATATTGCTGCAGTATTTCTTGGCTTAAGCTCGGTCGTTATATTGTAAGGCGTAGCTCTCCGAATACATTGTTTGCCGATTTGTATTTTGTTTTTATCCTACGAGCGTTGGAATTGGAACTGGAATAAACGATTCATTGAAATTTTTGTAATCTATAGAAGGCTTAATATTCTTCTTGATATAAATTTTTTTTTGTTGCTTCGATGGATGGACGAGCTCAAGCCCACCTGATGTTAAGTGGTTACTGGAGCCCATAGACATCTACAACGTAAATGCGCCACCCACCTCGAGATATAAGTTCTAAGGTCTCAGTATAGTTACAACGGCTACCCAACCCTTCGAACCGAAACGCATTACTGCTTCACGGCGGAAATAGGCGGGGTGGTGGTACCTACCCGTGCGGACTCCCAAGAGGTCCTACCACCAGTGATTACGCAAATTATAATTTTGCGGGTTTGACTTTTATTACACGATGTTATTCCTTCACCGTGGAAGTCAATCGTGAACATTTGTCGAGTACATATTTCATTAGAAAAATTGGTACCCGCCTGCAGGATTCGAACACCGGTGCATCGCTTCATACGAATGCACCGGACGTCTTATCCTTTAGGCCACGACGACTTCAAACTTTACGAGTATATATCAGCACACGAGTATTGCAAGTAGTATAGTTTTTTTCCATTGCTCAAAAAAACGTTACTCGTCCAAAATAGCTTCATTAAATGCACTGTGAACAACAAAAAAAACTAAACATTAATTTCAGTTGTTGCCGTGAGCATCAGACCTACACCAAATTAGTATAATTAGTTCCATTCAACGTCGGTCTTCATTGACTGTTGTACAATACGAGTATAACAACGTGCTCATACCGGTACGTACTTCCACTGTATCTTGCGGAAATTATCCATTATGTCATAAAGAACGACGTTTTAGTAATCCATTCTATTCACGGACTGACCTAAAATTCATTAAAAAAAAAAACTAACGAGTTTTTTTTTTTAATAATTTAATACAGTTATAAAAGTATGTAGAGATAATTATGTTATTTCAGACCTTATTTTATTGTAGGTAGGGTTTGAATACGAAACTAAATAATGATGCCTTGAATATCACAGTATTGAAAAGTATCTGTGTCGTTACCGCTCAAACCCAAAGACGTAATGATGATAATAGATTTAAGCGGTAAGTAATATGGCTCCTATATTCACGACCTTGTTCTGAATGATAATAACTACCACAAAAAAGTCGCCTCAAAATTAATTCTCTACTTACTTCTACTACTGAATTACTTAATTTTTTACGAGTATACTGATATGTAAATTTACTTTTTATGGCGTAAATGGGTGATCGGCTCTTGACCTACCCGGCTACCTATAAAAAGGCTACCGGAGCCTACGTTAATATCACCACCCAACTTCAGACACGAGGTCGGAGTCTCAATTGTATTGTACAAAAAGTATATCTAATATTATATTGCATAATTATTTTAGGGCGTAATTTGAGCCGCACGCGTCTAGGTCATAAAATAGCTGTGCATTCCAGCTAAAAGGGTGTAACAGGCATTATACAATACAGTTTAGACTTCGACTAGATGTTTCGAGATAAGCAATGAGTTGATCTACCTATACTAATAAAATACTAGTAATACAAATTCTGAAGCAGCCTACATTTATCCAACAACCGGAAGATCAGTGACCACGGAGCGCTGCCAA